TATCAGACTGTGTGCATTTTCTGTCAGGTTTAGTTCTTTATTTAGGTGTGATACAGGTATCTGAGTCTGGATCCTGGAGCTTAGCCACACAGGGGTGAGTCAACAGTATTTGGTAAGAGTCCTTCCAGCAAGGCTAGTGGGAACATAAATATATATATATATATTTTAAAGTTTCTTTGTTAGTAAACCGAATCTTTAGGTGATAGATTTGGATTTTCAGTTTTTCATTTCCTTGGATTGCATTGTGAAAAGATTGTTCTACCAGAGCAAGATGACATTCACTAGAAGCTATTAATACTTTACAATGTTCAAGAATGACTTCCTTCATTAAATGTGGATCCAAAGAAGCAGGAGTCAAATGCCTGGTGCATTCTGAAAGTATCTTGACAGGTAAAAACTTATAAGTTCCAAAAGGTGTAGATCTGAGGTTTACAATGCTTTTGATCAAGGTATGTGAAAAGAGTCTATAAATTTTGCCAGTTGACTCTTACTGAGGCCATTAGTAGATTCAACAAAACTCAGACTTGAGTGTGGTAGACACAGTGAAAATTCTGTAGAACTGGCCCAATAGCACAACCTTGTTTTAACACCTGAGCAATAAAATAGTTTCCTCTGTCACTGTGCAGTTTGACAGGAGCTGCCCTATGCGATCAGTGTTCTCTAAGAAGCCTTTGGTCAGTAAGAGGAAGTAGCTTTCTCAATCCAATGAGAAAGCTTACAGATCATGAATAAAATGTTTATATCCATGAGATAGAGTTTGATTGTGAGGAAAGCTGTATGAGATTTCTTTACCAAACTTCAAATGGTCCACTAGGCAATCTAAAATTTCCAGCAACAGTGCAAATATGGTGCCTGGATTATCCTTGGGACAATTGGGAAAAGTGAGGCAGCCTTGTTAATATCTCCCTCCCCACCCCAAAATATAGGTTCATAGATGCTTCCATTTTGTCATTGTCCCAATAGTTTAATGCGTGCACAGTGTAAGTAGTGAGAATCTTAGAATTTCTCATTTTGCTCTTTGGCCTAAACTACGGTTACTAGATTTCCATATTGGTTTTCCTTTACTGGGGTCAATTGTTAGGCATTTCAGTTTCAGTGGAAACAGCCTGGCTCCAAAAGGAATTGGGCCAAAGACTAGCATAGTTCCAATAAAACTGCCTGATGTCAAGTCAAGCAGAAGTGCCAATTGAATACTTGGAGGCAAAACAAGGCCTTTAATCAGAAAAGCAGGAAGCCTTAAAATAGATTCTGCATAGTGTCTGGGGTGCTTCAAACACAAAGAGAGCAGAAGCTGTGATCCAGGAGAGAGATCAACTCTTAAACTCCAGGGTCAGTGAGGGAACGGCCAGCTCAAAGGACTTTGTGGGTACTGCACTAGCCTATTCAAGCACCCTGGAGATGTTCTCTGGATGCTTGTGGATTCTCATGTGTACCATCAAATAATGTTGAACTTAAAAATGAAACAGCCGTGACAAGGCCGTGTCAATTTCAAGCTCCGTGTCTGGGGAGAGGGTTCCCTGGAGGGTTCAGCATACATTTAAAGAAGTGTTATTTCTGTCATATACCCCAGCCACTGCATGATGTTCACCCTCAAGGATTGCAGGCCATTCAGATTCTGTGAACCGAAGTGCATAAATGCTGTAAAAATGAAAGCAATCTTTGAAAGTTCAAGTATAGTGAAGGATTCAGTAAAGCCACTGGCAAAGAGCTTACAGTGGATAATTCATTTGCATTTGAAAAATGTAGCAGTGAACCTGTCAAAATACCAGGAAGAGCTGTATGTGGAAAAAAACTATTGATACAATGAAGAGAATCAAATAGATCAATGAAATTTAAAATGAAAAGGTTGAAGAAAATGAATAACTATAGAAGGTTCAGGAAATCAGAGAAAGGAAGCGAAGCATTCCTGTCATCTGGGCCCTTCTTGCATACAAAGGAAAACAGCTGGGAAACAAAATGGTACAGAAATTATGACAAGTTGTGGATCTGGAATCTGTTTCTGAAAACCTTACTGTTTAACCATTTCTACGAGCACATTGAAAAATCTCCTTTAGAGAATTAAATGTCTAAATTACTGATTTATTTTGATATAAGATGGCTCAAATAAGAAAGTGATTAAAAACATCTTGTTTACATTGTTATCTGCAAAACATCAGATATTATGCAAGACTGTCTGTCCATGTCAAGTCTTCACTGATAGAAGTACCTACGCAAATCAAGAGAATTCTATAAACACAGAAGTGAATTATGGACATAAAAATGTCATACTACTGATAAAGACAGTAGGCAGTATTTATGTAATAATTAATGATAAAAATGTATGGCTAGTGATATGTAAAATAAAATTTTTTTGCTGAAAAAATAAAAGATATTTTGCCAGGAAAACATGGGTTTATTCATGAATAGCAAAGAATTGCAGTTTGGACAAGCAGGCCATAACAAAAGTCATTGGCATTCCCACAGATAAAGGGGAAGAAGTTTATTTTGTAGAGAAAATGGAGTTGCTTTGGAGGAGTCATTCTGAACAGAAGTCCATTGGGGAAAGAAAGTGAGATCAGGGTGGTAAAGTTTTCTCTTTGTTGAGTTCCTGGGGCCTCAGTGTCTTGTAGGCACACACTGTCTGTCTTTCAGGTCAGAGGACCTTTCATTGGTCATTCTTTTCTGGAGAAGAGTCCTCTATAGGGATGTGCAATTGACCTCGACTGGTAACTTGTGAGTGTGTTCTCTCTTGGCCTCCAATTCCACTGGAATGAGGTTTCCCTTCATTCGATTTCACAATAATTATAAAATATCTACAGTCAGTTGGCTTCTTTTAACACGTGGAAATCATATTATATTTCTGTGATCAAAACTAGTTAAGGGCCAGAAACACTCTTCCCATTTTTTCTTGCGAAACCCAGGTGTTAAGTTGACCCTCCTTTCTGGACCTCTTGTCCTTGTATTGGATGTCTTATTTTTATGCAATATACTTGTCGAGTTGTTTTCATTTGTTTGGGTTTATCTCTGACTTCTTACTTCTGAATGCTTTTTAGACCTACCTGACTTAAACATACTTATTACTCATAATGTCATTTTTTTCACAATTAAAATTTTTCTAGGGTTTTTCATAATACACATTATTTCACTCATCGTATTTCAACTTTTGATCCATATGGAACTCATTTTGTGTTTACACATTGTCTCACCATAACTTACTGAAAGACTGAGTTTTCCTCAGAAAGGAATGTGGTATTCACCACATTTACATAGATGTACCTATGGTTCTAAAGTTTTTGCTGAAAGTGGATTTCATAAGGAAGGACAAAAATGGGCCAAGGACAAAATTCGGAATCCTGACAGAAGTCCAGTGGAACACAAACGTCTTCCGCGAGCTCACAGCTCCAACTCAGCCTGAGTGTAGGTGCCAGAACCTGTGGAGTGGAAGGGAAGGAGTTAGAGGGTCCTTCTCCGAGGCACGCTCAAAATCACACTGTACAAACGGTTTCTTGACAGATACTTAGGGCAGCCAATCTCTACGGGGTGGGGCGGGACCTTCTGAATAAGGTGTGACGAACTGCCCTCCAGCCTCGCCCTGAGCCCAGGATTCAGTACTTCCCATGACTGACAGGCAGGCTCCGCCCCATGCCCCACCCTTTTAACGTCTTCAATCGGGCAGTTGGAGGGTAGAACCCCGCGATCTCAGCAGTGATTGGCTGCTTTCAACGATGCAACTGTACAATTGGGTACGTCCCCTTCCGCTATCTATCAACCCTTGAGGGAGGCAAGTGCGCAGGTGCTTGGACATGGCGTCGGTCCAGGGCCCAGTTGCGCAGCACCCAGGTCAGCCGGGAAACTGACGAGAAAAGCGGGGAGACTGGGAGGGGGGACTGGAGTTTTGTTTCGCGAAACTCATAAACCATTAGACCTTCACATTCAGCCTAGAAGAGCCTAGAGAAAGTCACCCTGAGAGGCGCCAAATCTCATCAGCCTCGAGGGACACGAAATCGCGTCACTTTGAGGGAGCCCACATCTTCTAATCTTGAGAGACCTCAAATCTCATCGTCCTGACAAACCCCAAATCCCGTAATATTTGGATCTCCGCAAACACCCTGAGAAACACAGTTCCCCTCAGCCTGAGGCACTCCCAAATCTCTTTTCTTTGTAATCCCTACATATAGCACCCATAGGAAGGCCGATTTCTCCAGCGTCAGGTATCCAAAATGTCCTTGACCTGGAACTCTTAGTTCCATCTGCTTCAAGGCCCCAGCTTCATTCAGTGTCCGGGAACCTAGAGCGTCTTAATGAGAGCCCTTACAATTCATCAGCCTGGAAAATCTCCAACTTTCTCAGCCTGAGCATTCTCAATGGCTTCCTCCTGAAAGACCTCAAATCTTGTCCCAAGAGACCACAAATATCACCAGCACGAAGGACCTCAATTCATGTCAGCCTGCGAGTCCCTTGCCATATGAAAACTGAGCCTGCTTTATGTGCTTTATGGCCAGAGTTTCCCAGCATCCCTAGGTGGGATTCCAGCAATGCCCCTGTGAGAAATACACATTTCTGGTCTCTGAAGGGGAATGCTGATGATCAGCCTGACCCCATTCTCAGAAGCAGAGGCATCTAAGTTTCCTTGGGGCTTCGATTTCCTCTCACCTCAGGGCTCCTCCTAAACACAGATATGTGGGTCCTCAGGGCTTCCACCCAAAAACTGCTATTTTGGCCCAGATGTCTTTTTTGCTTTTTCTGATACAGGCCAAGCTACAGGGGAGCTAAGGAAATGTAACCCAGCTCACATGGTCTTACCCGGCCATCAGCAGACTTTCTCACACGTACTCAGATCTTTGTGGGGTCTCCACAATTTCTGTCTCTGGACACCTTCACTTGGCCTGGCCCTGGACACCTTCACTTGGCCTGGCTCTGTGTAGTTGTCTGCACTGTCAGCCCCTCTCACATCTTCTCCTTGCACAGACACCTTGGCCTCAGGACGAGGAGACTCAGGGCGCCTTCATGGTCCTGGCAGCATGAGGCCTGACAGATCTCCAGAAGAGAGCCCTGTGGGAGACACAAGGAGGCTAGGGCGTAAGCCCAAGGTAAGAGTTGGGGGAGGCAAAGACTCTAAATGGGTTCTGATGGTGTGAGGGACCTGGTGACATGGAGCTGGTAGCCAGTGGACCACAGATTCATACCCTCCAATGATGGGTGATCCGCTCTGTGTGTATACACAGAATGAGGTGCTAGGAAAATACTCAGTGTTTGCTCAGAATCGGAAAAAGGAGACTGCCCAGAGGTCTCAGTCCAAACCCTGCACACAGGTGGAGGAAGGAGAAACCAGCTAGAATTTCTGACTTGTATTAGTACGTTAGTTATTGATGGAATCTATTATTTTCTCCAGTCCAAAGATGCATTCAAAGATGTTTCCATACACTTCTCCAAGGAAGAATGGACAGAGATGGGAGACTTGGAGAAAATTCGTTCCAAGAATATGAAAAGGAACTATGATACGCTTCAGGCCATAGGTAAGTGCTGGGTGCAGATGAGCCTGGGAAACATGAATCGCTTGTATTAGCTTGACTTTTTCTTAGGTAGTTCCATCTGCCTGCAGTTTCTTTCTGTGTGGAGAACAATCTGAAGGAAAATTTTGGTCTTTTGTGTCACCGCAGGGCTGGTACTGATAATGCAGAACTCAGGATGTCTTGTTCTAGGTTCTGCCTGCCCATCAGAGTGAGTTATTCTGGCTTTGTGGTGCTTTATTTCTCCTTCAAGCTTTTCCATTTCAGGAAAATTTTGTTTCTTTCTAGGTCTCAGAGCCCCTCGACCGGCCTTCACTTGTCACCGCAGGAAAGCCGTCAAACCCCAAGTGGATAATATTGAGGATTCTGATGAAGAATGGACTCCAAGGCATCAAAGAGAAGGGCCAGGAGGAGTTAGAGGTACTGTTCTGAAACTTAACTTGGGTTTAGGTCTGAGCTGCATCTCAGGTAACAAGGAGACAGTATTTGCTTGTTCATCAAATAAGCTAGATGCAAAACAGTATATTTTACACTAAGGGGATATTCTAATAATGATTTTCAGTGTGTAAAATAATTATATATTTTATACATACATACATATACATATATATATACATATATATATATATTTTAGGTTCATTTTTAAGAGGCTATATTAATGTATATGTATATGTATGTATGTATGTATGTATGTATGTATGTGTATACACACGCACACACTCACACACACACCAAGCAGTAAGTATAGAAAAATCTGAGAGTGAATAAGAACAAATTCAAAATAGCTATCATCACAAGAGAAGGAGGAAGATCTGGCAGATTACTTGGCTCTATAATAGTTAGGTTTTTGTTTGTTTTTGAATTTTGAAATAGAAATAAAAAGACATGAAGCCATGTGGCAGATGTTGAGATCAGATTGGAAGGTGGTGGATGTTTAGGTTTTCCAGTAAAATTCTCCAATCTTTTCTATTTGTGTAAAATTCATCATTTTAAATGGGAGATTAGCTTTTGCTAAATGTGGCCAATCAAATGGCAAGTAAAGAAACCTTAGTTAAACTGTAATCCACCGAAGACCTTTCTAACACTAATCTCATAATATTTCCATTATTGTATTAAATGTCTTAGAAGAAGAAATGATGAAGATATGTAAAGATACGTAATTCCTTTATGCATATTTTATCTTACCACATGACCTTCTTACCCCTAAGTAAATCTGATTCTTTGTCTTGATTATGAGAAGGATTTTCAGTTTCTCTGATGTCTCCCACATGTCACAGACTGGAGACAGCACCACATATATTAAATGAGCTCAGTCATAAAAAAAAAAGTTAATAGCTCATGTCTTCTGCTCTCAGGAGAGTTTAGAAGAAAGTCAATCTGCCTCAACTTGAGAGAGCAACTTGGACTGGGTCTGAGCTTTCCCCATCTATGTATTTCTGATTCCTCAGGCTTATAAAAAAGTGTAAGAGCTCTGAAAGCCAGCACATGATTGCTTACAAAGGTTTCAGCATGAAAAGAGGGTTTATCATACATGTACACATCTTATCTGGACTCAGTGAAAACCCACAACCCCGTATATTTCTATATCTATCTGTGTGTTTAACAATACATGCCTTAAATTGATCTTCTAATTTTGAAGTGTACAGTACAGTATTGTGAACTATATGCCCATTGAGTTACAATACCCTAGAACTTTGTCATCTTGCATGACTGAAACTCTAACCATTGAACAAAAGCTCTCCATTTTCTCTTTCTTCCAGCCCCTGGCAACTGCCATTCTATTCTGTTTCCATAAATTTCATTCCTTATTTACTATCCATAAGTGAAGTCTTGCATTATTTGTCTTTGTGGTGATTGGTTTATTTTACTTAGTGTAAGTTCCTCACAGTTCATCCAAGTGGTAGCATGTGACTGGATTTACTTCTGTGTTAAGGCTGAATAATATTCCGTTGTATGTATGCACCATATTTTCTTTCTTCATTTATATATCATTGGGAATTTAGGTTGCTTTTACAACTTGGCTATTGTGAATAATGCTGGAATGACCAAGGGTGTGCAAATATTTACTTGAGATTTTGTTTTTAATTTTCTTTTTTTGTATATATACTCCAAATTTGTCTTGCCAAATCATGTGACAGTTCTATTTATAAATTTTTGAGAAACTTTAACACTATTTTCTATATTGATGGAACTATTTTATGTTCCTACCAGCAGCATATAAGAGTTCCAGTTTTTCTGCATTCTAGCCAATATTATTATTGTTTGGGCTTTTTTTATTTTTTGATCATTTTAATGGATTACAGATGATATCTCATTGTACATTACTTTGCATTTCTGTGATGATTAGTGGTACTGATCATTTTCAACATGCTTCTTGACCATTTGCATATCTTCATTGGAGAAATGTCTATTGAAATCTTTTTCTGTTTGTATTAGCTCAGGCTGCCATAACAAAATACCACAGACTGAGTGGCTTAAGCTACAAAAATTTGTATTCTCACAGTTCTGGAGCTTGGAAGTCTAAGATCAGGGTGTCATCCTGGTTAAGTTCTTTTCTTGGCTTATGGGCAGTCTCCATCTCACTGAGAGCTTACACAGCTCCTTTGCTTGTACATGTTTCTGGAGAGAAAGAAAGAAATCTCTCTCTCTCTTTTAACAAGAGCACTAATACCATACTGAGAGCCACATCATTATGAACTCCTCTTACCCTAATTACCTCTCAAAAGACGCATCTACATATACTCATGTTGGAGGATAGAGTTTCAGTATATTAATTGGGGGGACATAATTCAGTCAATAGCACCAAATTTTTAATCAGATAATTTGTCTTTTTATTACTGAGTTGTCAGAGTTTTTTTATATATTCTGGATATCAACCTCTTACCAAATATATGTTTTTCAAATATTTTCTCCAATTTCGTAGACTGCCATTCATTTTGTTGATTTTTCCTTTGCTACACGGAAGTTTATAGGTTTAATGTAATCCTATTTGTGCATATTTGCTTTTGATTTTTGTGATTTTGGCGTCATATCCAAGAAAGCATTTCCAGTTTTCCTCTAATAGTTTTATAGTTTCAAGGTTTAATTTAGGTTACTGATCCATTTTGAGTTGATTTTTACATATTGTGTAAGATAAGTGTCCCTCTTCATTCTTGTGCAGGTGGATGTTCTGTTTTCCTAGCACCTCTTGTTGAAGATACTATGCTTTTCCTCTTGTGTAGTCTTTGCATCCTTAATAAAGATCACTTGACTGTATGCTCTAGAATTTATTTCCAGGCTCACTATTCTATTCCATTCATTTATATTTTTGTCTTTATGCCACAAATATGCTGCTTTGATTACTGCAGTTCTGCATTATGTTTTGAAATCAGAAAGTGTGAGGCCTTCAGCTTTGTTCATTTTTCTCAAGATTGCATATGCTTTTCTTGGTTTTTTGAGTTAAAGATTGCTTTTTCCTTTCTGAAAAAAAAAATGCCATTGGGATTTGCTCGGGCTTACATGAGTGGCTTAAAAGGATGTCTGCTGAAAGTAACCTCACATAGTGATCTTATCATTCATTCCTAACTGCTCAGGTTGTGGTGAGTAGACGTCTGGACATCGTAACTTCTTTAGTAAAAGTTTGATCTTTGCCATAAGTAAAACCTGTTCATTGTTTCTGTGTATCTGGATCAACACAGCTTTGAAATGTCTCTTTCAGAAACTTCAGAAGCAAACCATCCATAGGAGAGGACATCATTTTAGTAATACTTCTTCTCACCTTCATGTAATCTTCCCTAAGTTCCCTCTTTAATTTCAAATGCCTAAAAAGGCTGCAAACTGTCACTCTGAGAAGCAGTTTTCTCAGTCTGTTGAAATCTTGCTTCCAGGCATATCATCTGTTTGACTCAAATAAATTTTTATAAATGTTCTCTACAGTTTAGACAGTCTTACCTCAACACATTGAATTTTTAGGTTGTTTTGGGTAGTATGGGCATGTTAATAGTTCATTCCATGAATGTAGAATGCCCTTACTTGTGTCTCCTTTAATTTGTTTTCATCATTGTTTTGTCATTTTCTGTGTACGAGTCTGTCAGGTTTATTTTAATTATTTCATTCTTTTTGGTGCTGTTATAAATGGGATTATTTTCTCAATTTCCTCTTTGAATTCTTCAATATTAGTGCATAGAAATGCAACTGAAGAAATGCAACTGACTTTTAAGTGTTGATTTTGTATCCTGCAAATTTGCTGAATTCATTAATTAGTTTTACTAGTGTTTGTGTGTGTGTGTGTGTGTGTGTGTGTGTGTGTGTGTGTGGAATCTTTAGGATTCTCTACACATGTAATCCAGACAGGAAAAGTTGAAAAGCCCATGGTATCACTTATATGTGGGATATAAACCTAAAAGCAACAAGCAAGACAAAAAAAAAGAGACTCGTGGACATGGACAATAGACCAGAGGGTAAGGAAAGGGGAGAGGTAGATGGAGTAAAAGGGATCAAATATAAAGTAACAAAATATAAGGGGAACACAAAATACAATATACATATGCCTTATTGTTAAATTATAAAAAAAGAAATCATGTCATCTGTGAACATACATAATTTTACTTCTTGTTTTCCCAACTGGGTGCCTTTTGTTTCCTTTTCTTGTCTAATGCTTCCATTTCTAAGTTTGTTATGTAGTTTCCTGGGGCAGAGAGACCAAAGAAAGAGAATGACAGCTTCATCCCTACATCAGAAGTCTATTAAGGGAATTTATGTATGAGGCTTGTCTTAGGTGAAGATGAGATACCATGGATATCCTCCACATCATGTAGCAGGTGCTAAGGAGTTATGCAGAATGCGGCAGCATGGATGGAGTACAGAGTGTGACCTAGCAAAGATAAGGGGGAAATGCCTCATATACTTGCCTAGGGAAGGGCAGTGGTCTGTTCTAGAAACCAGCATCAGGGTTGGGGGCGATTCGGTGAGACTGTTTCTGGGGATTTATGGGAAGTAGTCTGTTCTAGCCTGGATGCAGCTGGATCTTATTCAAGGGACCCACAGTGGTCACATCATGGAACTGTTGCTCTCCCACAATGACAATTGAAAGTGGCTAGTGTGGGCATCTTTGCCTTCTTCTTGCTCTTAGAGTAAACACTTTCAGAGTCTCAGCATGATTTTAGAGGTAGACTTCTTGTATGTGAACTTTGTTATGTTGAGAGGTAGTATCCTTTTTCTAGTTTGTAAGTATTAATTTTTGTCATGAAAGGCCAGCTTTTTAAACAAATGCAATAGATACCTTTTGAACATTGGATGAAGAGTAGATGAGGCTTTGTCTATTTTTCTTAACATTTTAAGAAAATTAGTGAGTGCTGCAATAAAATACTTTAGAAATCATTTTCCAGTGACACTTGGGTTTTTCTTGTTTACACAACACTCTCTATTGCAGAATTCTTATCTCTGATAAGATTTTAGAAAACTTTACTAACCAAAACACTGATTTTCATCACCTTTTTTTCAGAGATTCTTGGGTGGCCTTGAGTGGAACAGAGTAAGCACCAGAATATGTGTTTCCAAAATCTCATTGGTAGTAAAATATTCTTCATGGATGCAAAATCAGGGAAGATGAGAAAAATGAAGAATAACCTAGGAACAGCTGCCTTTCTTTCATGGTCTCTCCAAGACAATGGCTGATTTAACCATAATTTTAATACTTAATATAACAGCAACAATAGGAGCTACTATTTGTTTTATTTTCACCCTATTTCACACTCTAAAGAATTTTACATGCATAAACCAGTTCATACTCCAGTGAGGTAGGTACTATAACCATCACCATTAATAGATGAGAAAAGTGAGGTGTCAGAGGCACAAAAAAGTTAGATTCCCTGTCCGAGGTTACAGCATCAGTATTGGTATGGTCAAGTCCACAGTTTCTTCAGTAAGCCATGTACAAACCCGGTGAAACTCTCATAGATTTATCAAGTCTACCCTGTCTTACCGCACGCATTTACATTCTTCATCTGACAGATGATCTCAACTTCAGTTCTTTTCTGCTATGCTAAAGTGTGAGGTGCACAAGACCCTCTGACTATGTGAAGCTAACTGATATACAGGCAGTTTATAAAGTGGATGGTCCCAGATGAAGGAGGATATAGGACCCTAGCCACAGAGACCGGTGCTCTAAGAAAAGGAAGCCTCTCCCATCCCTGAAGAGCTGCAGGGTTGATGATTGAGACCACAGATGATAAAAGACTCAAGGACTTCACATCAGTCACATGCTAGGAAGTCTCATCTCTGGAACTGATTCCAAATGCTCGTGCCTGTAGGAGGAAGTAAGAGCTTCTTTCACTGAGCTCCATTTGGACAACTCTCACGTGGTGTGGAATCATTTGTTTAGCCAGTCTACCCTGCACTGCAAGCTCTTTGAGAGGGTACTTCACACCTGATCTTTCTCCTAAGTCCCAGGCCATTTTCAGGGCCCTTGAGCACTCCCTGAAAGATTTTGGAATTAGTGATTTCACATGCACAAATTAAAACAGGATCAATAAATGCTGAAGATACTATCTGTGAATAAGTTATGGGGATGACTGAGAAGATAAGTTTTAAGCACGAATATAATTTTATATTTGTACTCTGTTTAATAGCACACAGGCACTTCGGTAAACATTATTACATGTCTTGTTCACCATGACTGCTATAGAATTAGTATGTTATGGACTAGGAAATTAAAGAGAATTAGCTGGTATATGACCTTATTCAGATAGAGTGATGGGAACCAGCTCATCGAATTACAAATATTATTTCTCAGATATAGCAATATGCAGATTTTAGTATCATTTTCTACATTGTCTAGATATGTTTCTGCCACCCATTTATTTGTTATATTTTCCGAACCCTCGCTCTTACTCTTACAGAGAAAGTGGAAAGGAAAGAGCCTTAGGGCACAGTTTGTAGACTTGGATTCACTACCTACATATGTCCTTTCTTTCCCCCACACTCTTCATACTCCCCTTGTACTTCCAACTGTTGTTGAAGTACTAATTAAAGTTATGCATGTGAAAAGACATCATAAGCTTTAAAGTATTAAAGAAGTGCATGTTATCTTTTAATATGTGGGACTCATTTTGAAGGCCATGTCCATGGCACCATTAAGTAATGAACCCAGTTTGTAAAGAGTGGCAAATTTGCTGAAGGTTGTGGCTTTGAACAGGCTCAGAAACCACTGTCGTCTCCTGGAGAAGCAGATGCCCCTGAACAGCACTCAAATGAACATTGGTGAAGAGAAAATAATTTGAGAACTTTCATTCCTCTAAGTCCTCTGGAAAGGATGCTAGTATGGCCTGGGTATTTGGGGTGGACTGTGGCTAGGGGTGGGTTTAAACTAAACTAAACTGAGACTTGAAGTGAGCACTGGGGCTTTGGGCAAATCTTATGAATTCTCTGAGTTCCCCAAAGCTAATCTGTACAGTAAAAATAAAGACACCAAGTCCTTGTTTGAAAGCATTAAGTTTAATTGAAAAAGATTGCCATGGGCAAATTATCGTAAAAAATCCACATGTGATATTAACAGTGACCATAGTTTCTTGGTATTGCATGCCCATGCCTTGGTTCAATGCCTAACACATAATTTGCCCTCAAGAAATATTTCTGAATAAGTGAATATGTAGATGAACCATTTTGTAAATAGAACAATTGGAAAGTTCAACCTATAAATGGGAAGAGCTAGAAATTAAAATTGAATCAGCCATGTGCAGTCAGTGTGAAGTCTTAGTCTCTCTTGACCAATACTTAAGGTGAAAAAAAATACAGGGCATACAGAAAGGCTAGTGAAAGTTTGATGGTAGGAAATTTCATGTTTTCTGGCAAAACAAGCACTAGCACTCCAGACCCCAACCTCACTCACTTACCTTTCTCCAACTTAGAACTCAGAAGAAAGGGGACTGAAGTGAAGATGTATAGCCTCCGAGAAAGGACGGGCCATGTGTACCAAGAGGTCAGCGAGCCCCAGGATGATGACTACCTGTGTAAGTGACGCTCGGAGGAAAGCTGTTTTATCTTGATACTATACTTTCATCAGGTCACTTGACCCCAGTCATTTCCTCCCTCTGGCGATGTGTGGTATAGGATTGAGCCTCAGTGACGTGAGTGCCTGGGCTGTGCCTGAGCTCTCACGTGAAGGGACATGCATGACACCTTTCCTAATCTCTCTTATTCTCACCTCCAGATTGTGAGAAGTGTCAGAACTTCTTTGTCGACAGCTGTACTGCCCATGGGCCCCCCACATTTGTAAAGGACAGTAAGGTGGACATGGGGCATCCCAACCGCTCAGCCCTCACTCTGCCCCCTGGCCTGAGAATCGGGCCATCGGGCATCCCTGAGGCTGGGCTTGGAGTCTGGAATGAGGCGTCCGATCTACCACTGGGTCTGCTCTTTGGCCCCTATGAGGGCCAGGTCACAGAGGATGCAGAGGCAGCCAACAGTGGATACTCCTGGCTGGTGAGAAGCAGTGACCCCTTCCCCTGTCTTTGGGCTTCTCATTTCCCCTCTGTGAACTGGCGGGTCCTCACTTCCTGCAGGCTAGATTGCAGATGGGGATAATGTGGTATCTCTGTACACAGAGTGGATTGTGCTTGGACAATGTGCTCTTGCTTAAAGATCAGAGGTTGAGAGTGATTCAGTGGGACAGACACACAGGAGTGGCTCCTGCCTCTGTGCTCTTGCTTGAGCAGCTGACTTTGATGTGTAGTTGATGAGTAAGAAGCACATCATGTGGATACAGTTGACAGTGGAATCTTTGCAGGCAGAAGTGCTTGATGACAGTAGAGTTAAATACTTCTTCTAACTGCCACTTCTTCACCAAAAAAAGACTTGCGCGTCTTTTCTTGATCCTCAGATCACGAAAGCGAGAAACTGCTATGAGTATGTCGATGGGAAGGATGAGTCCCGTGCCAATTGGATGAGGTAAGGCCCATAAGTGTACATGTCCCAGAGGAAAATCTCTGACAAGCCCATATCACTTTTTTCATCGTGCTTTCCTCAGTGGTTCCTCCAGGCCTCTGTTTAACTCTTTTCTCCAGATTCAGTGTTCTTTCCTATTGAAGAGCATATTGAGAATTAAAGAGATAAAATAGAGATTTCAAAATAGAAATCTCTATGCTAGATAAACTTGAGAAACTAAAAATTCCTGGAGAAGGCTTGATTCACTGTGAACCTTGGATTCACACTTTACTTTATGCAACAGACATTTATTTAGCCCTTACTGTATTTCAGGTAGACAGTGGAATCCATTTTATCCTCCAGAGCTTAAAACTCATGTCCCAAGAGACATGACAAAAATGATTTTAGAAACACTTAGCTATAATTTTCCTATTTTGTGAGAAGGGCACAGGGCCAAGATCACCTAAAACAATGGACCTTTATCCTGTGAGGACAGCAAGGCATCCTGACCTCATTCTAACTAGAACTGGGTTGTGAAGCCTATAGTAGAAGGAGGTACAGAGTGGTAGTGGTCCTGCCCTGTTCTGTTTTATCAGGGGTTAGAGAATGAGAATGGACTGTGATCGTTCTGTGTTGTGCTGAGACAGAGACTTCAAGTGCAAGGGAAACTTTCTAGTCAGGATGAGCACTGTGAGCGGTACTTGGAGATTGCAAAAGAGATTTAGGTATGAAAAGAAGGTTTCCCAAGAATGTTGTCGGCAGTGGGCGACATCAGAACATGAAGGCCATAGGCATCAGATGATGAACTGGACATGGATCTGACAGGTGGAGAAACTAATCCCTTGTGGTTTTCTTTCTTCCCACCTGTCTTAACGTAGGTATGTGAACTGTGCCCGGGATGATGAAGAGCAGAACCTGTTGGCTTTTCAGTATCACAGGCAGATTTTCTACCGAACCTGCCGGGTCATCAGGCCGGGCTGTGAATTGCTGGTCTGGTATGGTGACGAGTATGGCCAGAAGCTGGGTATCACCTGGGGCAGCAAGAAGAAAAGAAAGCTAGTATCAGGGGGAGGTGAGCTCCACTCTTCTTCTTCAAAGGAGAATTCTCTGTAAATTTTCATTGTCCAATTCTTAAGTAGAGTAAAATCTGGTCTAAAATTAGTAAAATTTCAAATCAGATGCTTCAGAAATTAAAGATTTATTTCATAAGCCATTGATAGGAACACATTTTATATTTTTATTATCATTCTAATTTTTTAATACTTCATGCTAAAATTATATAACAGTATATAGTATAAATAGCCTTAGAGGCAAAAACAATCAATGAACAGAAACAATTTTTCAATACTTACCAGCTCTGTCAACAAAGCAAATTTTTCTGAAAATTTCTGCTGTTTCTTGTTATTTTCCTTTATATTTCTAAATGAAATATGTGTGTTAATATGCACTCATTGACATTTCAGTTAGTTGTCATATAAGTTCCTGCTCTGTGCCACACAGGGTTCCCAGAGCTAGTAATTCATTGTGAACATGATGATCAGAATCATACTCTTGAGCAGCTTAAGGTGAAGGGAGTAAGCAAAGGTGCACCCACATGCATGACATCAGCCACTGGGCGGGCTCCCTCAAGAGAGAACACTTACAGACACCTGTGGGCAAAGCATCCGGTAGATTTAGAAAGAGGCATTCTGTTTTAGGACCTCTAATGTCTCAGCATGGAAAGTAAAAAAGGTGGTTGGAGGGATGCTTCACAGCCTGGAATGTAGAGCCCATGATCCAGCTAACGCACATCACATTGTCCTACGTGATGAGGGACAATGGTGCCATTTTCAGCTGGTGTGACATGGTCTCTGTCTAAAGATTGTGCTTTGTGATTTTTTGGGAAATAGGCTGCAGTGGGGAATCCCCTCAGAAATGTGGGGACAGAGGATGGCAGACTGGATGAAGATGAATGGGAATCAGGGTTATAGGAAGTGAAATTGGGGATATATTGTACAACATGATTTCCTGTTGTATTTGGAGTGGACTAACACCAAATGTAACATCAAGTATGACAACTTAGTGTGAGGCTACTTTATGATCTCCGGAAAACTGAAAGAGAAGCAATTCATGACATAGGTAGAGCAGAGGGAGTGACAGTCCTAGAGACCAGAAGTTCCCAACTGTTTTGGCGCCAGGGCTCGGTGCTCTTATGAGAATCTAATGCCTGATGATCTGAGCTAGAGCTGAGGCGATGATTCTAGTGCTGGGGATTGGCTGTAAAAACAGAAGAAGGTCCGCTGCCTTATACTCTGCCCACCTCCAGTTGTGCGTCCCTGTTTTTAACTGGCCATGGACAAATACCAGTCTATACCCCGGTGGTTGGAGACCCTGCTATAATCTGTCAACCTAGATAATAAGGCAAACTGAAGCAAGCATAAGTCACCAGAAATGGAGTTTCTTCATGAGAGCAGAGGACATTAAATTTCCGGGAGAGGCTGAAACTAATTAGAGATGGGGTCCAAAATCTAGGTTTGGTTTCAGGACTATTAGCCTGCGTGACACCATTTTAGGGCCTGTAGTTTCTCTCTCTGCTCTCTCTCTCTCTTCCCCCTCCCCCGCTTCTCTCTTTAACATGATTTAGAAGATACTTGCCTGTGGGGGGAAAAGTAACTGAAGTTACATTTTCAAGAACAAAATTGCTTCGGATACAACTTCAAAATTCATATTCTGGGCCATAGGTAGGAAAAGCCCTCAACTGGGCTTTCTGGGTTTCTGAAGAAGATGTAGTGCATAAAAATGGAATGACAAGATAGACTGTAGAGGAACACATTGTGGGAAACAGAGCTTGAATTGTTGGCACAATCAAAGTAATTAGTGGGCAAGTCTTACTACGATAGGAAGCATATGTCCCAAGCAGCTTTGTCAATATTTTCCCTGACCAAAACCTTCTCTTTTAGCAGAATCAAAAACAGAGATCCATCCATGTCCATCCTGTTCTCTGGCATTCTCCAGTCAGAAATTGCTCCACCAGCATGTGGAACACAGTCATCTCTCTCAAAACCCTCCAGGAACACCTGCGAGAAAACAGCCGCAGTTGGAGGAGCCCTGCCCAGAGAGTCAGAATCAGCAGCAGGAGCAGCATACTGACCCACACAGCTGGAATGACAAAGCTCAAGGTCAAGAGGTCAAAGAAAAGTCCAAACTTTTACTTGAAAGGATCAGGCAGAGGAAGATTTCTAGGGCCTTTTCTAAACCCCACAATGGACAGATGGGGAGCTCTAAGCAATGTGAGAGAATGATGGAGGCAGAGCCCAGCACAGACCAGAAAGTGAATTCAGGGGACATGGGCAAGTTATTTCTGGGAGTAGGAAAATCAAAAATTGTAAGAGTCAAGTATGAAGGGTGTGAGCAAGGCTTTGATGATGGGTCACATCACATCAGATACCAAAGCACACAGTCAGAGGAGAAGCCCTTTGTTTGCAGTGAGTGTGTTCGAAGTTTCAGAGTGAAGTCAAGTCTCATCAGGCACCAGAAAACACATTCAGGGGAGAAGCCCTTTATTTGCAAGGAATGTGAGCGAGACTTCAGTGTGAAGTCAAGTCTCATCAGACATCAGAAGACACATTCAGGGGAGAAGCCCTTTGTTTGCAGGGAATGTGAGCGAGGCTTCAGTGTGAAGTCACGTCTCATCAGACACCAGAAGACACACTCAGGGGAGAAGCCCTTTGTTTGCAAGAAGTGTAAGCGAGGCTTCAGTGTAAAGTCAAATCTCATCAGACACCAGAGGACACACTCAGGGGAGAAGCCCTTTGTTTGCAGGGAGTGTGAGCGAGGCTTTAGTGAAAAGTCAAGTCTCATTAGACACCAGAGGACACACACAGGAGAGAAGCCCTTTGTTTGTACCGTGTGTGATCGAGGCTTCAGTGTGAAGTCACATCTCGTCAGACACCAGAGGACACACTCAGGGGAGAAGCCCTTTGTTTGCAGGGAGTGTAAGCGAGGCTTCAGTGTAAAGTCAAATCTCCTCAGACATGAGAAAACACACTCAGGGAAGAAGCCTTTAGCTTGTAAGGAATTTTAGTGATAAGATCTGATTTCACACTGAATTATCAACAGCAAAAGATATACGCAGGGCGAACCCCTTTGTTTGTAGGGACTGTGGTCAAGGCTTCATTCAAAAATCAACCTAAGCACACACCAGAGGACACACTCAGGAGAGAAGCGCTGTAATTATAGACAATGCACCCAAAGTTTTAAGAGTTCCCATCTCAGTAAAAGTCCCATCTGAGCAGACACCAGAGGACACACTCAGGGGAGAAGTCTTGTGTTAGTGGGAAGTGTGAGTTAGTCATTAGCAAAAAACTGCATCTCGGCAGCCCCCAGACAAATGTAGCTCCACAGTCTTAATAACCCAGCTCTGTGGAGGCTTCAGAGAGGGCCTCCTGACTCCTTAACCTCTGCAAAAGTGAATGAGTGAAAAAGTAACCAGTTAACAATTTAACGACTTGTCAAGAGACAGATTGTTTTGTGCTATATGGATGTCAGAATCAACCTCCATGATATTTTTTGTCTCCTGTTCTAATAAATTTTGTCTCCATACAACTCTGAAGCTCACAAACCTCATTACACCCTTGTCAGTGAAAACAAAGGGGCCACAGAGAACTTTGACCTTCAGCCGTAGAATCTCAGCACCTGGAAAGGCATAAGCCTGGAGTCAGATTAGTTAGGGGACTGCCCAGGTTGAGAAGTCTAAGATTTGAGAAAGACTCTTAGGGGATAGGAATTCCCTGAACTGCTAGCAAGCATGGACTTTTCTGCCAGGAGGCACCCCGTCCTCCTCACTCTGCTTCTCTTAGCAACTCTCCTGGTTTTCTCCAAGTTAGAGCCTGGGCGGGAGCTGAGCATGTATGTGAACGTGTGCCTGGCTCAGTCTGGGCCCCTGGTCTCCTCACTCTCCATGCTGTTCCTTCACTGCCAGCATCTCATGGTGCACAGCATGTGGACTCCAGATGGGCCCACAGGGGGTTTGACTCTCAGCTCTGCCCTCACCAGTTGTTTGACCTGTGGTAAGATACTCTATGTCTCTGTGTCTGTGTTCTAATCTATGACATGGAAATGATAAGCGGCTTTTGTTCTGATAGTCAAAGCTGAGTCAGCACAGACAGAATCCAGCACAGACGATGGGTGAGAACTCAGGCGTCTTCCTCAAAAGCTCCCAGTGCCCACGTATTCCAGGTCTTCAGTGCTGGACAAATGGACATGAAGGGAGGGTAAGAACCTTTTAGCCCAGACGTTCAGAGAATGCAAAGACTCACTGCTTTCTCTAGAGACTCGGCTGCCATGTAAAGGAATTGTGAAGACAGGGAGGCAAGCATGTACCTCCCTCCAGGCCACTACCCTTCCCACTGAGCCTGGGCTGATTTAGAACCTCCTTCCCCAAAAGGCTGTACTGAGAGTAACCTGTGAGACAGGACCTCACCCGCTCCTGCTATGAGCTCTCTTTGGGGACAGCTGTAAGTGAGTCTCTGAGCCTCTGCACGGCCTCATCTGCACAGGTGTTCACAAAGTCCCTCACACCATAGTTTCTCTAATGCACTTCCTTGTACCTGGGCCCAGAGAGGTTTATTGCAGCACTGTCATCATCCCAACATTTTAGTTATTGTATGTTTAAACTTACCTGTATTAGGCTAAGTCCGATGGGATGCTGGACGTGCTATGAGCAGAGCACCCATGGAGAATGACGGATGTTCTTGGCCTTCCATTCACAGATATTGTCCACAATGGCTCAGAAGCACAGAATCCATATGTCCACTCTTAACCAGCCCTATGCCACACCGTAGGCATTGGGAAGGTTCTGAGTAAAGCCTGCAGGCCACACAGGCCCATATGACTTGGCTATTCTAAAAAGGCTCCAACCTAGGTCTAAATATTCAGTACTCACAGAGATTAAATGAAGCCCAGAGAACAGGTCTGGGTTCCATGGGCTGGCCCTACTCAGCCAGGAGGAGTAATGACAAATGTCTACCTGTATGTCTAGTTCCCAGGGATCTGAGTAGATTTCTATCAGGCTAAATGAGTCAGGTCCTTGGTCTAGAATCCAGGGACATGCTCAAGGCAGTGAACCTTGGGTTGAAGTCCAAAGTGACCCTTTATCTCAGTCCTGTGAATGGACTTGGGACTTTCTGTGCCCATCCTCCAAATCATAGGCAGCAGTGACACTTGCCTCAGGAGATGCAGTGCAGGTTAAGGAAGGCCGTCTGTTCCTGAGAGCATTCCCCCGACAGTGATTAGTAACAGTTAGCCAAACAGGTTGGAGAGACATGTGACCTACCTGTGTTTAGCATCTCTGAAAAAGAGACCATGATTTTGGCCCAACTGGATGTGTGAGAACAAAGTAAATAAGTCATGAGAAGGTGATAACACATTTTTCAAACAATGCTGGATGTGAACCCAGACCCATCTGATCAAAGAACCCACACTCTGCAATGAGAGGTAGCCTATAAATAAAACTTCTGTTGAACTGGAAAGGCTCTGTTGCTGGGCCTGCTACAAATTGACACCCACCACTCTGTACATGAAGACTTGGTTTCTGTCCTTTCATCCCAAGAGAGAAATGTCAAGACTCAAACAGAGAATGGCAGGGGCACAATGCCCATATTCTCAATAAGCGCATAGTGGAGGTGTATCTGAACATTACTCTCTCCTTTAAATGGTGATACATAATGAATCCAGTGTCACTCCCATGGGGACTGGGGCCCTTGTCAGGATCTCCCTTCAGGTCAGCAGGTAGCAGGTGTTCCAGCTGAACCCCACTTAATGATCTCACATGCCTTACTAAAGACAGAGACACTTGCTCTTTGAAGACTCAGGGGGACCTGACAAGAGGTTGGGGGAATGGCTCAGGGCTGGAGCCCAGGAGCAGCTGTGTGCCTCACCCCTCATGACCAGCAGGCTCTTTCTCATTGCAGCGGATCCCTGACTCCTGCCGGATACGCAGTGCTGGGATCCTGGTAGATTCGCCAACACAGCTGCAGCCCCTTCTCCCAGGCCCACTCAACTGAAGTGCAGGACCATCAGTTACTCCAAGACCCTGCTGCTCCTGGCCATATGCAGGGATGCCTGTCTCTTGGGTGTGTGGTCCATAGTTTTGTGCTGAACCCTGTCCCAGCAGAGGCATGGGTCTGATGGTCAGGGATAAGGCTATGCCGGGTCTTAGTTCGGGGTATGCGTGGGTGAGGTGAGGGGGTAATAAGACCTCTTGGCTGCTTGTCTGCTTTGTTAGCCCACCGACTCCTGGGGGCTTGCACAGTGGAGGGAATGGTGTAGGGGATGGTGGAGCCCAGGGTAGAATTCTACTGGCTCTGGGCTGAGAGAGGATCTTGGGGAGGTGGGGCCTGGCCAGCAGGGGTCAAGAAGGCTTCTATGTCCTCATGGTTTGCTGGCCTTTGCTTAGCCCAGGGAAGCACGCATTTGGAAGGGCAGGTGTGCCTTTCAGCTATTCAGGACTCTGGTGGTTGAGACCCAGCCATAGTAGGAGGAAGCCGTAGGAACCCATTTCTTAATCCCTTTTACAAAGAGTGTTATCAACGACCACTGGGGGTCAGCGGCCGGAAATTGTGCTCATGCTCATATCCTCTCTCATCCCCCACACAGTTCCACTTATTACACACATGTTGCAAGGTGAGGACAGAGCCATCTAGGGAGGGTCCAATGTGGGTGTTTTTCTCAGGCAATTAGCCAGGATCACGAAAGTGACGTGGGATCTGGCAGCTCACCGGGATTGCGACTGACACCTAACCAGGATCATGTCACCAAAGTAGTATCAGCCGCCCCCCCTCACACCAGCCACTTGGACCCCAGTGATGTATGATTCTAGAAAGTACAACCCGTGACTAGTGCTCCTTGCATCTGCACCTTCCCTTCCTCCTCTTCCCCTCCATCTTCTCTCCTCTCCCATAAAGAGCAGAGACACAACAAAGGTGTGTGTGTGTATGTTGTGAGCATGTGTGTACTCACACCCACCCTCACACCCACCTTGACACACTAGGAGACGGAGAGCTGGTCTGAGGTCCCTGAGCCATGCTCCCTGTGCTCACCCTCACAACGGGGTGCAGACTCCTGCAGTTGCACACAGCTCACATTCCCACCCCTGGCAAGGGCACATGGCACCCACAGCCACACCCACAGGGACCCAGAACTCCTGCCTCCTCTACGGTCACCACACAAACACCACGGAACACATCTTCACTCAGCCCCATCCACCTAGCTGTGCCTGTCCAGCCGGCAGCTTCAGACACGT